GCATTACGCAAGGCAGTAATCATTTCCACACTATTAGTTTTAGGACCTTGAATGAAATAGAAATTAGGAACGATAAGGGCATAAATGAAGGTTGAATGACTTTTGAACATACCAATAGTGCAAATGATTGACGTCTTTCTCATGTTTTTTGTTTGGGCACCTACTTTTAAGGAGGATATCCATTCCATCTTATTTGAGATATAGTCGTAAGACATCTTTGGTTTTGGAGTTGATAATTAAATTAAATGAAAAGCAGGTTGCTTAAAATTCAACACAATATATACCGGTTTTTTTTCTTTGATCTGTTATCTAATTTAACACGTGTATGTAAATCACTAACAAAAGATGAAAATTATCTCATCGCCTTTTAAACTTTATCAAGATTATGCTAATTGTAAACAGTAACAATATCGATATCGGTGTATGACAAATTTGTATTTATACTATAGAATAAAAATTTGATGACAAATTTTATATACACATTCAATTTTACTACGCCACATTACAAACAAAGCAATCTAAAATCTTTCAATTTCTTATATTACAACAATTGCTGACCAAAATTATCATAGCCAATGAATTTCGCACGAGGACGTTGAGGAAGAGAATAACCTTTTTCAGACGGACGAAATGCTAAAGCAAAGATTGCGAGAATGAAAGGAAATGCAATGGCTTGGAGGACTAAAGGTAACCACATGTGATCAAAGAATAAAATAGAAAGGATCCAACAAATGGATATAGCCATAAAGATCCAAGAAAGAATAATAGAAGCCTTACATTACATAAAAGAGGTAAATGATTACATGTGTATGATATGATGAATAAATTGATATATCGCTTTTAAATGTTTCTTACCGCAGTCGCACCATAACCTGTTTGAGTTACCTAGAAAATATTATGAAAAAAGAGAATATTTTTAATCGCATATTCTAACATATATAAAACAAAAAACAACGAGACTTACAACAGTTGCGATAAGAAGCATCCACACAGAATCTCTCGCAGCATTAATAACTTTCGCGTAACGATTGTCCTTTGACACAATCACGTGTTGAGAAATGATAATAACATCATTGCATTAACGTTAATGTATTAACATTCTAATATCGATATCGATAAAATTACGATTACCATTTGATCCGCGATCGTATCGTGACTCACAATACCGGTATCGAACCTTATATTAGAAGATGGAAGGACACGCCTTCTACGAATGAATTCCGAAAACAACAATAATGTCGCCCAAATGACCAAAAGAATGAAAATTGCAACATAAGTTCCTAATGTAATTTATGGAAAAGAAAAAAAAACCTTGAAACATTGATGCTTTTTTTTTTTTTTGAAAATAAAAGGTGAGTGGAAGCATTCTTTCGCTTGCATTTGTATTTACGAATGCTCACCTTCAAGATATTTATTTTCATAGCCAACTTTATCTGTAAATGTACCCATTTTGTAATGACCAATTAATTATTTTTCTAGTTCTCAACCAAAGGTTTTTTTTTTAAAAAAAAAAAATAAAATAAAATGTTTGACAAGTAAAATAAAAATTTTAAATTCTCATCTAACACCTTCCCTTTATAAATATATAATGTTAAAAATCATATGATTATCGAAGTAATATGTTAAAGAAATCGGTAGAAAAAAAATTTCATCACTATAATGATAATCTTGTTATGTGATCATGACGTTTATTTTAGATTCTGAGTTCGATGGCAGGCGAGTTAATGTAACCCGGCTCTCGAAAGAATGAAGTCATTTCTTTTGTATATCATATGATAAAAAATTATATCGATATATGTATATTTATTTTAAATTAATTAGTTTCAGAAGTAATCTAAAACACTATCTAAATCTAATATTGTTATTATAAGGCTATGAAAGTGTTCATTGATTTGGAAGGTTTATTATGAAGATTTATTACAAAGATATATTAAAAATGATATATTATGATAAACGATCTATTATTAAATCATCATACCGCTAGTAACTAAAATAGCAAGGAGAAGAGCAAAATAAAGATTTGTTTGTAATTGACTAAGAGACAAAGCAGCGGATATAGGGCTAGGGGTTGATGTTGGTTTTTGGGCACCTGCGCCTGTGCCTGATATTGTTGAATTAGTGGCAGTACCAGTTGGTGTGGGTGCTACGG